CCATAGTTCTGTAATCTCTTGTAGGCATACGTGATTTTGGTGAGGGGGAAGTATGAGTAAGGAGAGAACTGAGCTGGCTGGTGGTGTGGGCACAGCAAGGCTGCTCCTTCCATACAGTGCCAGCCACTAGCTGTTCCAAACTCAGATTCTTCACTGCAGAAAGCTGACTTAAGAACTTGACTCACAGTTGAACAACAAAGGCTAAACTAACTTCCTGTGGAAGACCTGTGTGGGGAATTCCTCCTGAACTCCTATTTGCATCTGAATCTCTAGCATCTGTGCATTAGGGAAGAGTTCACTTTTGCTCACTCGGTGGCTGTATCTATAGCTCAGGTTGCCTCATGGTTTCCATCTAAGACCTTCTGTTCAACTTTCTTTAACAAAGGCAAATTCTAGTCACTCAGGTCAGGCTTTTCTGTCATAAAGATATCTTAAGGTGGTTGATTTACCCATGTCATTTTCAGGGTGCTGTGGTTCAGACACTGACTAATACAGTGATATGCTTTTCCAATCTTGGTGAAAGAGAACAGTCCTACAACTGAGGTGCTCCAAAACCCGCAAGGTCTGAAGAGGAGGCAGAGCAGGAATATTTGCCAAGAGAAAGTAAAGGTCTGTGAGCAGCCAGCACTGACCAACTGAAGCCTCAGGGAACTGAAGTTCCATGGGTGCAATCGTCAGCCTCCTCTGTGCTGATCACAAAACCAGCAGAAAACTACTCACTGTCACTGTTGAGCTAGTTTTTCATCAGCTCATCAAGCTAAATTGGTACAGGGAATGGTCAAGCAGAAGCCAGGGCCAGCCTAAGGAAAAGGCTGGGAAAAGGAGGGGGAGAAAGGTATGGAACTGCAACCCTATAGAAGACAGACTAACTCTTGATATGCAGTACAGGGCAATATCCCTTGATTAGGGCATCTGACTTGTGGGCTAATATGCAGGGTGAAGAGGAAGAACCTAGAATATTTTAGGATAAATATGTAGGCAGAGCAGTGGCTATGTGATGAACAACTCTTTCAGGCTATTCATCATGTTGCCACTGCTCTGTCTACATATTTCAGGCTTTGTAGCCTGAAAGAGAGCACCTTGAGAGTGAGGTCTAGTTAGGGTTGTCTGGAAGATGATGAGTGCAAATATTTCTGTTTAATGAGCATGCATACTCATTTGCTCATTTAGAAGAAAGAAGTCATAAAGGAAGGCAATAAGCAGAAACAAAAACAGAAATTGCCGTGGTTCACCGACTGGTACCTGTTAGTAGGTTTTGCAGTGACCTCATACTTCATGAAGAGGTGCAACAAAGCACTGGAGTGCCAGCACGTACTGAGGACAAGGGATAAGCCTCTCTTACTGCCCTCTCCTTGTTTCACAAAACCTTGACTAGGATTCACTAGATAACTGAGATACATGCCTCTAAGTTATGGATTCATCTGTCTTTAAAAAGCAGCATGTTTCTTTCAGCAGTTTGTACTGCCTTTATCATTACAAACAATCCCATTGAGATCCCCTGCAGTATCTCCAGAAAGCACACATCTAGTCATGGAGATTCAACATCCCAAAAGACAGAGGCACTGCTGGAAGACAAAAGAAAGAGACATGTTATGGTGCTGAACACAAAGGCCACAGCACACCTGTGACATGTTGGGGGCAGCAGTTAGTAGCTGACATGACATATGCCTTCAATCACTTACTCAGTTTGTCTCCAAAATAAGATCAGCTCAGCAAAAAACAACCCTGTTCTGTGGCAAACATTTCACCTCATGTGAACTTACAAAGTACTGTTAGCCTGGAGACCAAATGGGGCCCATAGGCAGGACAATGTATATAAATACCCAGGTAAGGCTGGCAAGGAAACAAATAAACAGGCTCTAATTTTCTCCTGCAACATTAAGCACTTTTCATACTGTGCGAGACTAGAAAGGTTGAGTTACCCTGACGTCAGTACAGTCATTACTGGCTCAGGTTTTTGGCTTATGTACAAGGCTAACATTCTTACTCTTGAGAGGGTCTTACTCTAGCACAGAAATGGTTAAGAAACTTTAATGTGTTATCCACCTCTGTATCCTAGCCCAAGTGTCTGAATTTCAGAATATCTGGAGACCAACCATGGTGACCATGTTTTCATGGTGTCAGGAAGATTAATGAACAACCTCACTGTAATTAAAGGCCTCTTCAGATGCTCAAAAATGAAAAACAAAGACCAGACACTACGTGCAGTCCACATACATGCACTACCTAGACAGCAAAGTATTCCATATTCCTTCCTATCGAGCACTTTAGACATTCTTCATGCCCATACTTCTACCGTGAAGATCTCTTGCTACAGACGTCTCAGTGATTTTGGGAAATTATCTTGCAACAGGCCAATGCATCTGAGCGTTAGAGAGCAAATTAAAGGCTCTTAATGTTTTCCCAAATATTTTCACATATGCTCTGTTATTATTTATATTGCATTACAGACTATCTTGAGCCATTTGACTTTAACAAGAGGCGACTTAAATTGTATGCTGTAGATTGGAGTGCATTCATCCAAGGAGACATTGGCAGTAATAACCAAGGACACTGTGCTGTGCCTAATGAAGGTGTTTTCCTGAAGTCAGTGGGATCTCAGACTGCTGAGGACTTTACAAATTGAGTTTTTAAGGGCCTACCTCAGGAGCCCTTCTACATACCTGGAACCTGTCCAGATCATAATTTTCCTAAATTCTCTCAGGGATCTGAAACAACACCCAGTACTCTCCAATCCTATTGCACCTGATTATTAGGCATAGATTGCTGTGCAACAGAGGTAATCCTTTAAGTGGTGAATGGGAGATGCATACTACTGAGATAATGCACATCCCTGCCTGAGTGAGGGACTGTGACCCCAGGTCCAAATGAGTACTGGACCAGATGGATTTGGCATCTCATTTAGCTAGGCTATGGTTAACATACAAAAGTAGTACATTGCCGTCAGTCAAAGTCAGTTGCTAGCACTTTCAGGAGAGTCCCCTGTCTGTCTGACTGCTGCTAGCTGTTAATACACACAGTCAAAAATGTGGGGATTTAGGTATGTGTTTCAAGAAACTGCGGAAAACATCTGCGAAGGGAGTGGGCTTCTCTTTTTATAGGGCTTATTATTAACAAACCCTAAAATCCCAGTTGCATTTTCACCGTATTACTGAAATTGTTTTCTGTCCTAACTTCTCTGCATCACTGTTAGAAATTATTGATACCTGTTTCGAACACCAGAAAGACCTACAATTCACTTGTACATGAAAATAATTCAAGTACAGCAGAATTTTGGTGAAATTCAGAAATAATTGCTTTAGTGCTTTAACTGCTAGCATTTGGTAGCAAAAGCACTGATGTAAATCAATTATTGTGTTTAAGCTTTTAGGTGTTTGTTCTGCAGACAGAATACAATGCATAAGGTGAGAGTACATAAACTCAGGACCTTTTTGCTGGTGCAGATCCTTATGGTCCAAACTATTTTATACCAAATTCTTCTTTTCACTTTCTGAAATGGCATCTGCCACTTCAAAAGGATGTAACTTATATTGCACTTGGGAATTTGCGAGAAGTATGCATGCAAAAAGAATGTCTGTTCTTTTTACACTTTCATACCAAGCACCTGGAAAAACACTACTTGCTTTGCACTGCCTCAGAGAAGCACCTTGATTTAATATGTTTACCAGCTCTGGGATTGAGATGGGAATCTGAAGCAAAGGCCGCACATGCCACAGAAAAATACTGCCACACAATTATCAAAGTATAACAATTCCCCCTCACATAGTATTTCACATAGTCCTGAATCACATCTCATGTTAATATTTTGGAGTCACTTGTAAGATTTTTTTTTACCAAATAATTTAACATCCTCTCTCTTTGCGTATTTCCAGTACTTTAATATCTGGAGTATATCTGATTCTGAACTGAAATTATGTATCACTGGGTACAGCTGCAAAACCACAAATATGAGCAGTAAAAGCAGAATAAGCAAAATTAAGTAGGCATGGCTTAAAACCCCACACTGCTACGCAGCTAGTCCCTTTTAGCAGGTAAACAAAAATCGTAGCATCTCATAAATCCAAAGCCTAGACTGGCTAAAGAAATTGTAAGAGTTTCAACATGAGACATGCAAGAATGAGGATGTGCATCTATTTATTTTGAAAAGTGCTGCTAGGGAGAGAAAATTATTAACTCGTAAGTTCTCTTAAAAATCCTGTAACAGTTGTTTCCCTCCACGATGTGGTGTACACATTATCCCTTTATTTGCTCCAAATTTGTAGCATGTTTATATCCTATTAAAATATTTTTTTCCAGATTTATTTGGCACAAAAATGACCGATGTAAAAATGATAGGCTAGATCTCTGGGTAATTTAAATGGTTGCAATTCTGTCACCTGAAATGGAATTAACCCAAATTACAGCAGCTGGGCACCTGACTGTGCTCCTAATTTCGGAGCAACTTTCCGCCCCTCCACGTACACCCTGGGAGGCGAGCGGGATGAGCGGGCTTTCGGCTGGGCTCCAGGAGGGCTGTGGAGCTGGTGGCTGCGGTGTCTCCGGCGGGAAGGACGCAGGCAGCCCGGGGGGCAGCAGCATCCCCCGAAGGCTCAGTCGATGCCCCCGCGAGTGGCGGCTGTTCGGCAGCCCGGCAGCGGCCACCCCAGCCCGAGGCGGCCGGGACACATCACCCGGCTCCCGCGGGGCAGGGCAGGGGCGGGGGCTCGGGCTCGGGCTTCGCGGAGCTCCGGCCGCCTCTTCGCCCGCGTCCCTCCCCCTGGTGGGGGCGGGAGCGGGGCCGGCCCGGGGAGGAGGAGCCAGCCGGAGCCGTAAGTCGGGCTGATCGCGGCGGCCTCCGGCGAGCCCCGAAGTTTGCGCTGCCGGCGGAGGCGGCTCCGGGCCCTCCGTCCCGCCGCTTCCGGGCTCCGCCGGGCGGAGCGGGCCGGGCCGGCCGGGCCGCGTGCGGGGGCAGGGGCGGGAGCGGCCGCCGGCAGGGAGCCGAGCCGAGCAGCCGAGCCGCGATGAAGAAGCCGGACGGGAATGTGGTGCTGCTGCGGGGACAATTGAACGTGCGGCAAAGACCTCCCTGCTGCACCGCTACATGGAGCGGCGCTTCCAGGAGACGGTCAGCACCGTCGGCGGCGCCTTCTACTTGAAGCAGTGGGGTCCGTACAACATCTCCATCTGGGACACCGCAGGTGAGCGGGGGGCGGCCCGGAGGAGGGGGGCTCTGGCCCCGCGGGCTCCCGGCGTTTCCTGGCGGAACGGGACTCTAAAGAATTTGGGCGGCGTTTGCCGGCGGGCTGCCCCTGTCCTCCGAGTCCGAGGAGAGCGGCGCTGCCCCCGGCACCCTCTGTGCCAGGGTCACGATGCCTATGGCTTTCTTTTCCCTAGTTTTGGTTCTGCCCTAATGTACGAGCTGTCGATGGGAAAGATTGCGGGCTGGTGTCCTGGCTCGGGACAGCCTCACCTTTCCGAGAAGCGGCGGGTGGGAGATGGAGAGATGGTCCCCCGGTGCCCTGGCGGGGGAGGCCGGCCCCGGGAACCCTGCCCTGGTGCTTAGCGCCTTGTTTTGGCACTACGGTAAAGTCAGTCGCCTGAAACATAGGGGTTGGCAGTAGGACAAAGTCTGAAAAGAAATACGATTTTGACGGGCCAGAAGGGGCCTTACGTCTGCTCATCTATAGTATTTTTGGACTTGCTTTGCGAAATGTGAATGCACAGGGAAGATTGCGGCGCCGGTTTGCTTTCTTTTGCCCGAGTAGATTGCTACTGACGGCAAATTCAGGTAGGAATTAGAGAGCTTACAGTTTCTGTTCATCCCTTCTCGATGTGTGGCGATGAGTATCCTTTTGATATCAGCTGGTGTCAGACTTGGACTTCCAAAAGCGCGCTGCTCACCAGCCGTTCAGACGTGGCGTTCCCCTTCACCACAGCAATAAGAGCATAAGGAATTAATGCACAGAGAGCACGGGCTGCAGGCAGTTTCTGTCTGGGATAGCAGCAAGGGGCTGTCTGGCCCGCTGTATTGTGGCAGGCAGCATCTCCGGGATGCAGGAAGGAGTATGGGTTGTGGTCATGTGTAGTCATATGAATGTCTTGCTCTTGATTGTTAAGTCAGGAAGCTCCCCCCTGTCATGTAAAGGACTAAGACTGTCCAGAAAAGTGAGGTCTATAAACGCTCTTACTCCTTAAATTGATCTTGGGGAAAAATAATCTTGTTCAATATTTTTTTATTTTCATGTTTAGCTGGATTTTAGAAGATTTATTAGTGGCAACATGAAGAATGCTGATTATGTGTCCTTGTGAAACTTGTGGAGCCACAGCATCGTGCAATATTCCAGTTTCCTTTTGGTGACGTTTGGGAGGGAAGTTCATTTGCTGTGTCACTTCGTGTCACAACCTAGTCCAAAATGGCTTTTCCTGCATCAGGAATTGAGAAGGAGGAAGAGGAGAAATGAAACTGCCGAGAAATTATGCAGAAACACATTTGGGGGTGGGAAGGAGATTTTTAAGAACTTTTGCTTCTTGCATTTCTTAGTCTGTAACTATGATGAAAGCTTTGTACCAGTAGCTCTGTTTTAAACATACTTTCTATGTCCTTTGCAATATTTTTGAAAAAAAAATCGACTTCCATTTTGGAATTGATGTGTTTTACTGTGGGAAGTCTCCTGTGGGCAATTGCTGCTTGCTTCTATTAAGCCAGACCCACATGGGAGATTAATAGTGGGCTTTATTTCAACAGAATTATCTTGGTGATGTTGTTCTTTGGTAATTTCCATTACACCCTTCTGATTTTTTTTATCATACACAAAAAAATAAGTCCCTTCAAGGCTTGTCTGCATTTAGAACCCTTTTTTTTCAATCATTTATTCTTATTGCAGTATTTTAGTCCATGTTATTTGAGGCTTCAGGCTACCAGCTCTACGTGGCATCTGGAAAGCTCCAGAGTTGGGTTCTCCATGTGCCAGATGAAGCACCCAGGTGATTCCTGTCTCAGGGCAACACAAGTGTTCAGAACTCAACAATCGCCTTCCCAGTACCCTGGAGCAGGCCACTGCTGATGCTGCTGCCTGCATAACACTGCAGTGGAAGCTCTGCTGCTCTCTAAGACTTGGCAGGACTTCTGTAGCAGGATTGCTGAAGCTGTATTTGTAGAACACTTGTTGAAAAGTGTTGCTGTATTTTACCAGGGGAGGCATAACATGTATTCCTCGTCCTTCTCTCTTGTTGGAGTGAGCATTGAGCTCAGCTGTCCCTTCTCTTGTGTTTCACAGGCAGGTGTGGACTCTTTCACCACCTCTCTGTTGACTTGGAAGTTGCTAAGACCGGGCGCTAGACTGTTTTAGGGCATGTGGAGTCTCATTAACCTTGGAACAAATAGAAGCTCCCAGGGCTTATATATGCTTTCTCCTGTCCAGGTGAAGAAGGAAGGGACCATGTGGACACTTGTAACCCTGATGTTAAGTCACAAGGGGATTCAAAAGCCTGCATAATTTATTTATTTATTATTTTTATTTTGTGCGGACCTTATGCTTTCGCTAGCCACAACTGGAGACCTTGGCCTGTGGCTCTTATCTCTCTATAGTCTCACTATCTTATCTCTACCAGGTGGGTACCAACTAAGCTTGGAATTTATGTAGTAAGGAGGACTTTAAAATTTAGCTTTTTTGTCTGTTTATTAACTTGAGTTGCTTACTACTGCATTCTTATGAAGCAGTGACATGGTTATCAAATACAGATACATTGTTTTCTTCAATTACGTGTGTGCAGATATTATAGAGAAATCCAACAAGAAACAATCATCCAGGAGATTTAAAATATGGCAATATGACAAAAGTATGCATCCATCCTACCTACCTAAATAATGAGTGCCATCTCAAGACATCCATCTTAATACCTTAATAGTACTTTGTACAATGTACATTGTAGAAATATGGAAGATTTGGCCTAGAAAAATGGGGGTGCTTGGTAGTAACTACTTTACTAGTTTGATACATAATTGAACCAGGTAAACTGGAATTCATCTTCTTTTTTAATTTTCTCAGTTTGCGTTATATTTAGTATGTGAATGTATGTGCATTTTTGCTGTTGCTTATCAATGTTATTTTGGGGACCATTATCTCAACAGAAGTCCCCTATATATTACTTGTAGTTTGGTTTGTATTGTTTTTGTTGTTCTGGTATGGGTCAGGCATTTGGCTGTAGCAGTGTAAGCCACTGAAGCTTTATTCCTGTAATACAGAGTTTTGTTTGTACAAGATTAGACTTTAGTGATTGATGAGAATATCTGCAGTAGTGGTGATCTATCAAAAGTTAAGCATGGATGGATATTAGTACGACACAAGTTTAATTGTGCATCTTCTGAATTATTTAAAATATGTGTCATTTTCACTCATCACTGCGTTGATATTGCATTACTTCTCTCACTTTCCCAGGAAGAATGAAATTTTCTTGCCACAGTGCTCTAAAATGTATGTTTCTGTGTTGTTATCACTCAGTGAATCACAGTGTGCACACCTGACCTGTTCTACCAAGCTAGGACTGAAGTGCAAATCAGTTATTCCAGGGAGGACTCTTTTTCTCTTGGCTGTACATTCACACCTCTCTTTATCTTGGAAAAATCAGCTGCTTAGTCTAGTCTAAATCTTTCATGTTCTTATCCGCAAGTCTTGTCAAATGGGTGTGCAGAAGTTGTCAGACTTGATTGGCTTTTTTATGTAAATGCTCATGGCAAATAGTTCAACATTTCCAGTTTTCCAATTTGATGATTACGAGAGAAGTTATTTGGAAATTGCATTCAACTTAAAGAAACAAATGAGCCACAGATGGAAGAATACTTGTGAGAAGTATCATATGCTTGCCATGTTTTGAAGCTCTTTTTTTTCCCCTAGCCATCTGCTTTTGACTATTTCTTCACTGTCAGGGGCTTGTGTCTGACCTAGCATGGTTGCTGTTGTATTCATGGTTGGTGCAGAAAGTTATTTATTACTCCTTATCTTCTGATGCTACAGATTGCCTTTGTTCGTTTTCTCTTTGGATCAGTTAATTCAAAGGAATTAAAAAAAATGTGGCATAAACTATACAAAAAAAGAAACTTTACAGTTTTAACATGTTTTAAAGGACTAGTCTACTGGAAATGGCCTAGTCTCTAAAGCATTTGAGTACATGCTTTGAGACCTTCATACTAGTATATTTGAAGTAGTACTTTTCTGGAACAAGGAAAGTAAGCAACAGCATCAACCAGAAGAACTTTTTCACATGAAGACACATTGGACACTCAGGATGTCAAAGCTATATATAATGTGTGTATATATTTATATCTTCTAGGCAGTGCTGACAGCAGCTGCAGAGTAAACCAAAACTTCCTGCTGGGTGCTGATGGCATGCAGCTCTGAGCTAGCATGTTATCTCTTGTCTCTGGTAGCAGAAAGCATCCTGAAGTTTTGAAGGTCTTGGCCCTGCACCACCATTGAATCGAAAATAATAGTGTGAGGTGAGCTAATGATATTGTGGGAATCTTTTGGTTGTTCAGGCATGTTTTCTGATGCCTTTGTATTTCAAAAGGCAAAAGTAGTTTGTGTGTTAGATTTCAGTCTCTCTAAGTTGACATTTGTTCATCTGACAGATGAGTGGAGCCCTCAGTAGCAAGGTTTCTTAATGATTAGTGGTCATGTTCCCTGTGTTGCTGGCTTAGTATTAGAGCAACCAACCAGTAAATTAATGACAAGCAGTTTAAAAAGTCCACATCAGGATCCTGTAACTCTATTTTAAGAAGCTGAGTTTTGAACTTGCCAACAGATATTCATGCAGTATTATAATGGAGAAACATAAAGGTTAACGGGGAAAGCAGGCTTTCCTTCTTTTCCTTCCTCTCATCGTGAGCTATCTGTCTGCAAGAACTGACTTGATTATTTTCCTCTGTGAATATTCAGCTACCAGTTCATATTTTTACACCTTGCACCCCTTTATTTTGCACCTGCAGATTTTTTTTTTTTCACTTGTCAGACTTAGTAGATTTAGGGACAAAGGAGATAAACATAGCCTGGAAAAGGGTTTTCTGTGGCTTAGGTCAACTGTGGTGTACTTACCTAATGAGTGCATACATCTCGTGTGACTGGTTTGCTGATGTCTGATGGATCAGTGCTGGTGAGCATGTGTGAATTTCTCACAGCTTCCAATCTCTGACCACTAGGGT